TTTTTTTTTTTTTTTTCTTTTATATAATGAAAAACAGTCTACGTTTATTTACTCCCCTTTCATCTTTAGGCTGTGTCATTGATGACCTCCTTGAAAACACGTTGGAGTATACTCAGTGCAGCAAACAGGAGTCTATAGGAAAGGTTGAAATAAAACCAAAAAGGAGCAGAGAACAATGACTCCTAAAGGCTTAGCGGTTAAGAGTAGACTTGTACCACTGGAAAATGGAACTGAAATCAACCAAGTTATTCTCTGATGCTTCTCTAGGGCGTAAAACTGAGTGGCCCAATATTTTCCTCTATAAATTAATTTAAAAATTAGGATAATCTCTCCCTTTTTTTTTGGTTTGTTTTTATCACATTGTGGTAAAATATATACTAGATTGAGGAGCTAATCATGCCGTTTCCTAAGGCATATTTGTGGAACACCTAGATTTATCATTTTAACCATTTTTCAAATGTACAGTTCAGATTATCTAGACACGCTATCCAGTATACTAGCCACTGACCCCATAAGCCTTTTGAGCTCTTGAGATGTGGCTGGTCCAGAGATGTGAAATGGGAAATACTCAGTAGATATCAAAGACTTAGGGTATAAAATATTTCATTAACAATATTTTTGATATATTGAGCTAATGAAATTTGTACTAAATTTGTTTTTACAGTAAATAATAGAAAAATTTTAATTACGTATGTAAATTGCATTCGTGGTTTGTATTGTTTCTCTTGGAGTGCTGTTCTAGACCATTGGTTCTCAAAATATTGCTGATACATTAGAATCACCTGGCAAGCTTTTAAGATGATCAGGCCCCACCTCAGAGGTTCTAAATTAAAATCTCTGAAGCTAGGGCCCTACATAGGTGTTTGATGAAGCTTCTCAGATGATTCTTCCCCTCCACCCAAAGATTTTGTTCTTAAGTCATCTCTACACCCATTGTAGGCTTGAACCTACACCACTGAGTTCACGAGTCACCTGCTCTACCAACTGAGCAGCACAGTGCCCTTCTCCAGATGATTTTCATGTCTCATATGACCATTGAGAACCACCAACCAATTCCCATCCCTTATTTTATAGGGAAGAAGCTGAGTCTCTAAATAGTAAAGTGACAACAAATATAGTCTAAAATGAAGACTGTATTTCTCCTAGGGTTTGTCCAAGTTGAAATTCATGCTCTACCTCTTTCATGAGTTGTAGCTATTTTTCCATTGTCTGGAACAGTGGCTCTTTACCAACCCTTAAAGGCAGAATTGTGGCTGATTTTAGCCATTTCATCCTTTCCAAAACCAGTCATTTGGTGATTTCCTGCATAGTGTGTCCTTGTCATAGTGACTATATTTGTTATGTCCTCAAAATGCTTTTGTCAATTCTTATTATTACTTTTTTATTATAAAGGTAAATTGTGAGCGTGATTTAATCATTATACCTTTAAACATAATTAAAGCTAATCTTGAATTATCATGATTGGTATATTTTCATCAGAATAGAAATAAAACCTACTTTTTCTGCAGAATCTTTTTTTTTTTTTTTTAACATTTATTTATTTTTGAGAGACAGAGAGAGAGCGTGAGCGGGGGAGAGGCAGAGAGAGGGAGACACAGAATCCGAAGAAGGCTCCAGGCTCCGAGCTGTCAGCACAGAGCCAGACGCGGGACTCGAACTCACAAACTGTGAGATCATGACCTAAGCCGAAGTTGGACGCTTAACCGACTGAGCCACCCAGGCGCCCCTCTGCAGAATCTTAAGGGGCTTTACAAGATCAGTGTGTTGAGTTGTGGAAGTCTGGGGATGATTTATCCATGGTTTTCTTAGAAGTTGCTTTGCACATTTCAGGATGGCTCAAAGAATTAGCAGTTAGCCTTTGCAGAAGTTAACCTGTGATCTGAGAGATCTGAGGCTTTTCCCTGACTGCCCTTAGAGTAGAACCTGTTCCAGTGGACAGCTTTACTCTTCAGCATTCTTTATTTGTTCGGGATGTGGGTCATGGATAGGCATGCAAATGTATATATGCAGTCATAGGTAATACCCTTCATCTCAAGCTCAAATCAGAAAGCTCGTGATGGTCAAAGATTGTGAAATTTTACAAGTAGAAGCAGCAAGGGATGCTTTAGTCTAGCACTCCTCTTGTAGCCTGGCAGGTTAAGGGAAACGGACAAAACCAGAAAGCTTGCATTCAGTCCCCATGCTGTTAACACCATTTTGGTGACCCTGAATGAGTTGTATTAGCCTCTCCATGCTTTGCTTTTCTCAGCTATGAAGTGGGAATGCTAGAGGAGGGGACCTTGAGGTTCTACTTGAAGAATACCACGGTTTGGGGATTGATTGGCCTTCTTTAGTGTTTGTTTTCTTACTAACCTCCCTGTTTTTCTCTTGAAGGGTCAGATGACTTGTCTGCAAAACTGTGGGATGTGAGCACAGGACAGTGCGTTTATGGCATCCAGACCCACACTTGTGCAGCAGTGAAATTTGATGAGCAGAAGCTTGTGACAGGCTCCTTTGACAACACTGTGGCCTGCTGGGAATGGAGTTCTGGAGCCAGGACCCAGCACTTCCGGGGGCACACAGGGGCGGGTGGGTTGCCCTTTTTCAGGGGTTTCTACAGTTACTTTAACTTCATTCCTTAAAACCGGAAGCCAAGAATATGACCCCCTTTTTGTTTTTTAACTTAACCTGCCTCTCCCTCCTCTGTTTTCTCAATAGCAGCAGTTAATCCCTTTATTTAAGGTACCCTTATTTGGAATTTTTTCCTGAATTTTGCTTTTCCTTGGCGCATTCAAAACTCTTCTTTGTACCCTTATGCAGGGAGGGGGCAGTTCTCCTTACCTATTTCATTTACACTCCATTGAACAGTCCGTCCTTTTTGCTTTTTATCAGCTTCCATACTTCCAAATTGAGTAAGTCCTACACTTGTAAATTCAATCTACTTTATTTGTAGAATCAGGGCTAACCATCCTTTGCAGTGACAGTGGTTCTCAGATTGTGTGAGCTACACACTTTACATTGAATTGGAGCTTGGTTGACAACTGATTAAAACAAACAGTGCCTAGAGAGAAGACAAAGGAAACAGATACCTGATTTTTCCTAATAATTTTATAGTGGCCTGGTGTGCAGAAATTGGTCGTTTGAACATAGTCTCGAGACCAGAGCTTCCACCTCTGTTGCATTGCATTTTGGAGCTCTGTGCAGAAATCATGTTGAGCTGCTTCCCAGCCTCTTGTGCAGCAGCCCCCCTCCTTTCCCCCATTTACCCACTGCACTAGTCTTGGAGAGTCACAGTCTGTGCTCTTAAGCGTCTTCTCGGACTCCCTGAACAGGTTTCCCAGTAACCTGTATTTTGTCCTAACACTCATCATACAAATAAGTCTGATATACCAGGCTATACTGCCAGCAAGGCAGGGTCCTACCTGTCTTGTTCATCCTTAGGTCCTGAGTTCTTTGTATTGTGTCTGGTGCTTAGTAATACTTTGAAGTGAACCTGGCTGTTTTACTCCTGAAGACCATTTTTTCACCACTTTGTTTTTCATCTTACACATTTTTCCTTAGTCTGCTTATTTGTTACCACTTGTTTGTTATGGAAATGAATATTGGAAAATCTATGGTTTAGCATGGAACTTACTAAATTGAGTATACTGTTCCATAGTGTCAAGATGTACATTGACTTCCAGGTGATCAACTTCAAGAGCCCTGCTCTAAAAAATTTCCTCGTTACTGTTCCCTGGACATTGCTGTGGCTTTCCATAATTCCATGCCTTTGCTGTTCCCTCTACCTGCAATATTCTCTTTCTTTTCTTGATAAACTCTACTCATCCTTCAGGGCCCATCTCCAATATCGCCTCTTCCCTGAAGTCTTCCCTGATACCCCTGGGCAGAGTTAGTCATTCTCCTTGGTGTTTCCCTAGCAAGAGGTAAACATTTAATTTTTTTGGACTTCCTCCTTCACCCCTCACTTAGACTGAGTTCCTTAAGGAAAAGCCCTTCATCTCTGGGTCCCCAGTGTTCCTTTAGAGTTTGGCAGGCATTTAAAAACAAATGTTTTGAGTACTTGCTGTACTCAGGCTAAAACTTGCTGTTTTAGGTGCTGGGGGTACACCTGTGAAGAAATTCAAACCGTTTGAGAGAGTGGTTTAGTCTGACCGTTGAGATACTTGTGTTTCTTTTGTTTTTCTCGTTACGCTGGCTTTTCTTGATTATGGGTATGATTCTTGAAGTTGAGTCTCACTGCAACAAATAGTGCGCATCTAAGCAGGGCCACCTATGTTCCTGTTTTCCCTGCATAAGCTGGATTAGCTTTGTGTCGGATCAGGCAGGCAGTCCTGAGTGGAAATGCCGTTATCTCCAGTACTGCTTTTACCTCTCGCTTTAAAGCTAGCACAAGTATAAAAGATTGCATTACTCCAGGGACGTTCCAGCCTTAGAATAATCAGCTATAATAATAACAAGAATTTTGAACTGGATATATTTTTTATCATAAAATTCTTAACTGAGTAGCACCATTCTTAACAGTAACTGTGGTTGAGAAATTATATAATTGAGCAGCTAGGGAGAATGAATGTTATTGAACTCTATTATAAAAGACTCGGGCATGTTTTAACTGTGTATGTTGTATATACTAGTGTTTAGCGTTGACTACAATGATGAACTGGATATCTTGGTGAGTGGCTCTGCAGACTTCACTGTGAAAGTATGGGCTTTATCTGCTGGGACGTGCCTGAACACGCTCACCGGGCACACGGAATGGGTCACCAAGGTAGGAAGACTTACAGGAGAAATCTTGACATCAGGCTTTGAGGGGGTGAGGGAGCTGGGGGTGGGGTGGAGGATGCTGGGTGCTGCCTTGTAAGTGGTAGGGGAGCCATAAGACGGAGCAGGTGCGCCCACAAAGCGTGATGGCCAACGACAGTGACCAGCAAGTAAGAGGCACTCAGTAAATAGTTTAACAGATGAATGGACTTACGGACATGGAAAAATACTCACAATATATTTGGTGGGTAGAGGGAACAAACACAGTAAAACTGTACTGTAGACTAGAATACCAGTTTCTGAATAAATCTGTTCATGCACTGAAATGTTGAAGGTGGTTATTACTTAGGAACTGTGGGTGCTTTTTTCCCTTTCGGATAAGCATATTTTTTTAATCAGAAAAGCAATTTTCATGTAAAAAAAAAATAATTGCAAGAAGTGGGACAAAGAAAAAATGTATAAAGTCCTTAAAAGAGTATTGTGGTGTTTACTCATTTTCAAAAAAAGACGGCCGTGAGGATCAAATGCAATATTAATCATGAAAATGTCAGGCAGAAACACTTTTCCTGAGCTTACCAGGCATTTCTGTGAGGGCTGGAGGATACAGGAGTGAACAAAGCAGACCCAGGCTTGATATGGATGTTAGCCCAGTAGGAGAAAGAGTTATTAAATAGTAATTTCACAAATAAATATATAATTACAAATTGTGTTAAGTGCCATGAAGGAAAGAGTGCAGTGTTCTGTGAGGAAGGCTAGGAGGTATCTAAACTCTCTCAGGGGAGAGCTTTTTGAGAAGGGACAAAATATGAAGAAATCGGAGGTAGCTGTGTACAGAGTAGTGGAGTGTTTCCGTGTGCAGAGTAATGCCCAGGCCCTGGGCGGGAGAGAACCTGGACCATTTGATGACCTGAAGGCCAGTGGAGCTGTGCTGGGGGTGGTGTGGGAGAGGTGGCCATTGTGTGTGCCTTCCTTGGCCGTGTTAAGGATTGTGCATGTCCTACACATAGCAAGAAGCATTTGGGTGTTCTGAGCAGGGAGAAAACAGCCGCTGAGTGAACAGTGGGTTGGGGTCGGGCACAGCGGACACATCGAGGCCAGTTAGGGGTTTGCGATAATTAAGCAAAAGATACCTGTGGCCGGGACCGAGGTGGCAGCTCAGAAAGAGAAGAACACACACGAAGGATATGTCTTTAAGGTAAAGCCAACTGAACGTACCGACTCCTGGGGAACAAAGAAGAAAGAATCTGATGTCCAGTGGGTTTCAGGTCGGGTGGGTGAATGTGTTTACCTGAAATAGGTGGAGCTGGAAGGAGAGCAGTTGGTGAGAAGGTCAGTAACAGCACTGAACTGTACTCTTAAAATGGTTGAGATAGGACATTTTATGTTCTGTATCTTTTACCACAGTTCTGTATTGGGCACATTGAATATTTCAGTGGAAAAATTACATAAGACAGTTTGGTGTGGTGTTAAAAACACTGGAGTTGGGGCCAGGATGCTGACCGTGATGTTTTAGACAAGCTGCCCCTCCCTTCGGGGCCTGACTTGTATCTGTTAAATGTTCCTATGAATTCTGAGTGAGGTCGCGGGACGGAACCCAGCAGGGTGCGTGCGGTTAGTGGGTCTGTGTTTCAGTTGAGTCTGCAGCCCGGGCTTCAGAACAAGTGAGCCTGGCCACCTCCTCACTTTGTGCTGACTTATTACAAAAATAACTGGCACCTAAATGTCTACAGACTATTCCCAGTGCTAATGGATGACTAGCTCTTATTTCATCATCATCATCATCATCATCATTTAATTGTTTTATTTCATTTTCATTGCAATTGTGAGATCTAATACATGCCCCGTCCCCTATTTTAAAGATGAGGAAATTGAGAAACAAAGGTGCTAGACGGTCTTGTCCAAGGTTGCAGAGTCAGTATATGGCAGATTCTGGTCCCAGGTCCAGTGCGTTTTCCCTTACAATGCACATGCCCGTGCTCCTGAATACAGATTATTTGTAACTATTTCTAGGTTTACGGACTGTTTTCTTTCCTGTTCCTCACACTTTCTATGAGGTCACATTTTACAGTTTTTAAAACCATTCCAAATGTTTGCTTCCAGATTCAAGTTGAAATTAAATGCTGCCATCATTAGACAATTTTAGATCCTGCTGAAAATATAGAGACTCTGGTTGTACTAACTAGAGGCTAACTTGGTCCTAGAGTTACAGCTTAGCTGCTCTAGTGTACCATCTCATTTTGGGCTCTTTTTCCTATTTTAATTTTTAAAAAAGCAATCTAGAAACAGTTTTAAAAGGATATTTCTGTAACATGGATGTTTATATTTCTAGGTGGTTTTGCAGAAGTGTAAAGTCAAGTCTCTTTTGCACAGCCCTGGAGACTACATACTCTTAAGTGCGGACAAATATGAGATCAAGGTGAGGTTTTTTTTTCCTGCATTAATTTGCCTCATCAAAGAAAAACTGGCAAATACAAGGAAATTAAAATGGTGTAGCACGGGGAATATTTTAAGGGAAGCAGGAATGTCTTCATATAAGCCATCTTAAACCCATTGGAAAGAGAATTGCTCGTTATTTCTATGTACAACGCAGTTTCTAACCCTGATTTGCAAGTAAAGAAAAAAGAAAACACAAATTTATCTTCACATTCTGTTTTCTTAAGACACATCTCAGGGCGCCCGGGTGGCTTAGTCGGTTGAGCATCTGACTCTTGATCTCGGCTCAGGTCATGATCTCGCGGTTCGTGGGGCGCGGCGGAGCCTGCTTGGGATTCTGTCTCTTCTTCTCTCTGCCTCTCCCCAGCTTGTGTGCTTGCTTGCTCACTCGCTCGCTCTCTCTCTCTCAAAATAAGTAAACTTAAAAAAATAAAAACCACACATCTTGTACCCACTTCAATTCTTAGATCTACACTATGAAAATGAAGATTTACTTGTATAATAAAAACAATTTGCAAAAAGTTTACAGAGCGATCTTATATACATTCTTTTTGCAGTTTTTAAATTGTTTTGTGTGGTAGGCATCTTCATTGTGGGAGCTGAGGTTCAGAGAGGTTACGGATTTTACCCAAGATCACACAGTACATACATGCAGCATCAGAACTAGGACCCATGCCTCTCAACTATAAAACTTGTGGCCTTTCTCATGTACTTCACTTTATACTGGCTTCAGCAACCATAGGCCGCATTGTGTAAGGGTAAGCTTGTCTATGGTGATGTGATTTGTCATCTTGTCTAATATTCTTTTATCTGTAGATTTGGCCGATTGGGAGAGAAATTAACTGCAAGTGCTTGAAGACATTGTCTGTCTCTGAGGATAGGAGTATCTGCCTGCAGCCAAGACTTCATTTTGATGGCAAATACATTGTCTGTAGTTCAGCGCTGGGTCTCTACCAGTGGGACTTTGCCAGTTATGATATTCTCAGGTAATGTTTCCTATCTTTGACAGTCTGTTCTCTTTTTTCTTTTTCTTTCTTTCTTTTTGTTTGTTTGTTTGTTTGTTTGTTGTGGTTTAATAGTAAAGTCAAGACTGAATATTTGGATAAACCAGTCAGTAGTTTGTGTTTGGGAAATGTTTACTACATCAGTTATAAACAGGGTTATATGCCGAAAATCACATGCATAAAAATATTAAAGGCAATAATTAGAGTTTCATGCTAGAACCTCAAAGATCTAGGTTCTAATCCCTCCCCTTCCCCCTTTCAGAGTTTAACATGCTTTTCTGGAAAACAAGAGGCTTGGATAAAAAGAACTTTCAGATCTCTAGTTGTAATATTTTTTTAAATATATTTGTTTAAGGTTTTAGATAAGGTATATTTAGTAAAATAACGATTTTTTAATTAAATTTCTTATTTTAATTCCAGTACAGTTGCCATGCAGTGTTACTACATTGTACACCTGAAACTACTGTATTTCAGTTCCATGCAACACCTAGGGCTCATCAGAACATGTGCACTCCTTAATCCCCGTCACCTATTCCATCCATTCCTTCACTCACCTCCCTTCTGGTAACCATCAGTTTGTTCTCAATACTGAAGAGTCTGTTTCTTGGTTTGTCTCTCTCTTGCTCTCTTTTCTTTTTCCTTTGCTCATTTGTTTTGTTTCTTAAATTCCACATGTGAGTGAAATCATATATTTGTTTTTCTCTGACTTAGCATTCTACTCAATAGCTCCATCTATATAGCTGCAAATGGCAAGATTTGATTTTTTCTTTTATTTATTTATTTATTTATTTTTAAGTTTATTTATTTTGAGAGAGAGTGTGTGATCAGGGGTGGGGCAGAGAGAGAGAAGAGAGAGAGAATCCCAAGTAGTCTCCATACTCAGCACAGGGGCCCAACATGGGGCTTAGATTTCACGACTGTAAGATCATGACCCGAGCCCATCATGAGTAGGACGATTGACTGACTGAGCCACCCAGGTGTACCAAGATTTGATTCTTTTTTATGGCTGAATAACATTCACGTATATACATACACACACACCACATCTTCTTTATCCATTCATCTTATCAATGGATACTTATGCTGCTTCCATAATCTGGCTATTGTAAATAATACTGCAGTAAACATAAGAGTGCATGTTTCCCTTTGAATTAGTATTGTTGTATTCTTTGGGTAAATACCTAGTAGTGCAATTGTTGGATCATAGGGTAGTTCTATTTTTAATCTTTTGAGGAGTCTCCACACTGTTTTCCACAGCAGCTGCACCAGTTTGCATTCCCACCAACAGTGCACAAGGATTCCGTTTTTCTCCGCATCCTTGCCCACACTTGTTTTTTCTTATGTATTTGATTTTAGCCCTTCTGACAGGTGTGAGGTGATATCTTATTGTGGTTTTGATTTGCATTTTCCTGAAGATGAATGATGTCGAGCATCTTTTCATGTGTCCATTGGCCGTCTGCATGTCTAGTTCTGATATTTAAAAAAAATTTTTTTTTTCAACGTTTATTTATTTTTGGGACAGAGAGAGACAGAGCATGAACGGGCGAGGGGCAGAGAGAGAGGGAGACACAGAATCGGAAACAGGCTCCAGGCTCTGAGCCATCAGCCCAGAGCCCGACGCGGGGCTCGAACTCATGGACCACGAGATTGTGACCTGGCTGAAGTCGGACGCTTAACCGACTGTGCCACCCAGGCGCCCCAAGTTCTGATATTTTAAATTCCACTTCCTGGTCAGTGAAATTCTACATTAAGGGATCAAGTGACCTTCTGTTGACTAGTAGAAAGATGGAGTATTTAGAGAAAAACAGAATTTGTAGGATTTCTCTTCAAAGAAATGAGGTCCGTGGACAAAATAATTCTGTGATACACTGCATACTTTAGACCCTTCTTGGAGATTGATGGTAGTTGTAAGCATGCTGGAGGCTGATGGGAGCCAGTGCCGTATGGTGATGAAGAGAACTTACTTTGGTGATAAGCCTTGGTTTAAAATCTGGTGCCATCTCTTATGAGCTGGATGATTTTATGTAAGGTTCTACCTTTCTGTGCCTCAACTTCCTGACCTATAAAGTGAAGACTAAATGGAATACCTGTAACGAGGACCAAGTACGAGACCTGGCAGATCTTTATTACCAATAGCTCTGAGAGGCCCTACACAAAGAAGCCTGTTTGCATTTGTTTAACCTCCTGTACCTCAGTCTCATTGTATACAAAGCCCTATTTTTGAGGAACACCTACTATTGGTTCAGAGAATTAGTGTTCCACAGAATGGTTCAGGAAATGCTGGCTTGGAGTTGTACAGAAAATTGAATGTTCTCGTCATTGTTTTTCTCCATGACTGTTTGAGGCCAACTGGTATGGGATCTGTCATGCTAGCCAATAGGACCTTGTCAGGCCCGGTCTCTCTGGTCAGACAGTTATAAATAACCCCTTTTATATCTTCCTGGAATCAGACTTAATATTTCTAACCAATTAGCTTTCCAAGCTGTCAGAATCATTTCTAGAAATGATTGATAATTATGCTTTGAGGAAAAAAAAGACTGGAATAGATCCTAGAAAACTTTAGTCTATGCTTTTCATTTCATAGATGGGGAAACTGAAACCAGGAGAAGGTAGGGGCCTTGTGCAACATCCCCCTAATTCACCCTAGTCCTGCATCTGTTCATCCTTCTTTCTGTCCATCTGTGTATCCATCCATCTGGCATCATCCAGTAGGCATATGCTTCAGGTACCAGCAAGCCAGAGAGAAGGAACTTTTGAAAGAATGTGATACTTTGCAAAAATCCAAGTAGTCACCATGGGAAAAATCTGATGTTTATTACAGTTTAGTATTGTTTTTGTTTTGAATCAAAATTTGGATAGGAGGGATGCAAAGGTAAGGTGGAATGCTTAGAATCTCTAAAGGTTTTATTTTGATCCCACATTTACCTTTCTCATGTATGTATTTCTCTTACTCAGAATGGCTTAAAGAGTCCAGAGTTCCAGAAGATAGTTGTGTTAATTTTTGGTATTCAGATACACTAGCTTTGAGCAATAAACCTACACATTTGTTTGCTGCTAGGAAGTGTTAAGCTTAGATTTTTCTTTTTAAAATTTTTAAATTTTTGTTTATTTTGAGAGAGCACGTGCGCACACCCACAAGCATGGTATGGGCAGAGAGAGAGGGACAGAGGGAGAATCCCAGGCAGGCTCTGCGCTGTCAGCACAGAGACGACGTGGGGCTTGATCCCACGAACCATGAGATCATGACCTGAGTTGAAATCAAGAATTAGACACTTAACCAGCTGAGCCACCCAGGCACCCTTAGATTTTTCTTTGCAAGGGGGCCATTTTATTTTTCCACGGGATACAGGTGTGCTGTTTCGAAGGGACACATGCACCCCCATGTTTATAGCAGCACTATCCACAATAGCCAAAGTATGGAAAGAGCCCAGATGTCCATCGACGGATGAATGGATAAAGAAGATGTGGTGTGTGTGTGTGTGTGTGTGTGTGTGTGTGTGTGTGTGTGTGTATATAATGGAGTATCACTCGGCATCAAAAAGAATGAAACTTGCCATTTGCAACTACGTGGATGGAACTGGAGCGTATTATGTGAAGTGAAATTCGTCAGTCAGAGAAAGACAAAAATCATTTGACTTCACTCATATGAGGACTTTAAGAGACAAAACAGATGAACGTAAGGGAAGAGAAACAAAAATAGCATAAAAACATGGAGGGGGACAAAGCATTAAGTGACTCAAATATGGAGAACAAAGCGAGGGTTGCTGGAGGGGTTGTGGGAGGAGGGATGGGCTAAATGGGTAAGAGGCACTAAGGAATCTACTCCTGAAATCATTGTTGCACTATATGCTAACTAATTGGGATGTAAATTTTAAAAAATAAAAAATAAAATTAAAAAAAATTAAAAAAAGAAAGGGGGCCATTTTATGTCTTGCCTCCTCCTCACCCCCTGCAACACAAATAAACCAGCCTCTTTTGAAATCTTAGTGCAAGTCCTGTGGCCTCAGTTGCTGAGACCAGGCAGGGCCACTTCTGCTTCGAAGCTAGCTGAAAAGAAGCAAAGCACACGTGGTACCATGGTGTTCAGGAAATCTGAGATAGGCCGTCTCTTGAGCTAAGTTAACTCACTACCGCAAGCAGGGTGATTTGGGTTCCAGGGCCCAGAGGGCACAGCAGGGATATCTGTTTACAGTTCTAAAGTAATCAAAGTTAAAGGGGCTGTGAGCCTGTCGAGACCTGCATTCCCCTCTGCAACATATTTGTGCTCCAGTGGCTGGAGTCTGTTCATCTTCACCAGGCTTGGGTCCTATCTGCTAGCCACCCGGTTACCTGAGTTTCTGGTTGTTTCCTGCTTTGCATTGGTGATGTGGGACTTACTGGACTTTTCTGCTGTTTTCCCAGTTTCCTTTGGATCTCTTTCGTAGGAGTTGTTATTTACCCATGTTCATTGCACCACTGCTCTATTTGTTAGCAGATATTTATTGAGCACCTAAGTATGTTTTTGGCATTGGGATATGTACTGGGAACCTGCAGAACTACCTACCAAACTTGCAGAAATTACTAACCAGAAAGAGGGAAGACTGACATTAAATAACTAGGTGTTTTAGTGGTTGGGCTAAGGGCAACACAGTATGGGGTACTTTGAGACCCCACCTAGTTGAGCAGTAAAGGCAAGTTTCTTTGAAGAAGAGGTTTGAGCTGAGCCCTGAAGGATGAGTGTCTGCATTAACTAAGTGCCAGCGGATGGTGTGCAATAAGGAGCATTGTAGACCGAGTGACCTGGCTGTTCAAAGGCCCTGAGACTGAAGGAGCCTGGTGCCGGAGACATGAGTGCAGTAGAGAACCATCAGAGGGTTTAAAGTTAAAAGAGGTGTTAATAGGATTAGATTTTAGAGTGAGATTAGCTGACTAAAAGGGGCAAAGAATAGCTGTGGGAAGACCAGTTGAGACTGTTGGCAGCTCAGGCAAAGGATGACATCTTGGATCAGTCGTGGCAATTTCGCTAATAGCGAATAAAGTAGAAACTTTAAGAGGTAAAATCAGTTGATCTTGGTATTGAATTTGTTGCTTGAGTAAGGTGGAGAGTTCGGCGGTTGTCATGGTTTGTTACCTGAGCAACTGGGTGAAAGAGCAAGGAAGGAAATAAGGAAGAGAAACAGGGTTGGCCCACACTTCAGTTTTGGACAGGTTGAGTGTGGGGAATAGGTCGTCGTCACTACTCAGTCCCCTCCCTTTCCAATGTCCGCTGAAATCTGCTCGGACCCTAGTTCTCTCTTCTAGAGGTCATGACGTCTGGCCTCACACGTCCTTCACTTCGTACGTGTGGGCGGTGATCGTGTAGAGTTTCCCTGTCCCTGCCAGCTCTTTTTCTCCCCCTGTCAGCTGATCTCCCTTGTGTTCTTTCTTTGTCCCAGTTACCAGGCCCTGCCTGTTCTGGGTGAGCTCTCGGGCACACGCTAGTTGGCAGTGTCCTTGTTAAAATGCAGGTCAACCCGGCCTTTCACAGGGGCCCCCCCCACACTGTTCCAGAGCAGGGTTTGCGCATCCTTTTCTCACAGCTCTCTTCCTGGTGCCTCCAAAGAGGACGTCAGCTTTCCTTGTCAGTCTTGGCGCCTCACTAAGTGTGCAGACGACGCAGACTATGTTTTTTTGTGCGTTTCTGTTGCTGTTTGGCTGGGCCTCTCCCGTTCTGTGCCTTTGTCGTCAGTGTTTGGGGAAGGTGAGGGGTGCCCTCTCCACACCCCCAGTCTTCCCTAACAATTTCTGATGCATCTGTTGTTAGTGTTTCTGGATTATTTAGGAGGAACACCTTGGTTCTTCTAGCCTCTGCTGGTTTTAGAGTTGGCTGCCTGCCGAGTAGAGTAGCACTGGAGCCACCTGGTTTCCAGTCTTTGTTCCAGGCACAGGAGGCTCCCACAGGCCAGTGTTCTAGGGTTTGATGAATCCATCTTTTTACCTGGTGGTACGAGTTGAGTCTTGCATTCTAGTTCTCCCTGGTAATCCTTAGCCACAGGATGGACCCCAGCGGGACTTCAGTTTTCACCTAAGTGAGATACTCTGTAAGATCCTTTCCAGCCTGGGTGGGCATCTTGCGCCTTCAGAGATACGCCTCAGACACTGCCTTTTCCCTTACGTGCCGCTGTTATCATGTCAGGGTTCTTCCTCTTCCCCCTTTTTAAGTAAGCTCAGCTTTTTGTCTTTTCCATTTTATTGAAAACTTTCATTTAACTCTCTAAATTTTCTTGAATTTTGTATTGGTTTTTAATGTCTCCAGAAAAGATTACAGTGGCAGAAACAGAAGTAAAGTTGCCTTCTGGTTCATGTTTCCTAACTCTCGTCTTTGTAGGGTCATCAAGACTCCTGAGATAGCAAACTTGGCCTTGCTTGGCTTTGGAGATATCTTTGCCCTGCTGTTTGACAACCGCTACCTGTATATCATGGACTTGCGGACAGAGAGCCTGATTAGCCGCTGGCCTCTGCCAGAGTACAGGAAATCAAAGAGAGGCTCAAGCTTC